GGGGAGGGGCAGGGGGGAGACAGAGAGAGAACCTCAAGCAGGCCCCACACCCAGCGCAGAGCCGGACTAACATGGGGGCTCACGACTGACCCACCGTGAGAGGACGACCCGAGGAGAAATCAAGCCGGACACCTAACCGGCTGAGCCCCCGTGCCGGCGGCTGAGCCCTGAGAAGGGTCCAGCAACGCCACACGTCCGCACCTGTGTGGCCACCCAGCTTCCGTCTCAACTACTTCTTTCCACGCTCCAGGTCTAGATGCCTCCGGGGCGCATCCCGGGGCCCCCGGAGGCTTGTGGAAGAGACCCCCCCACCAATTCTGGCAAGCTGAGGACGCCGACAGTCCTCCACGGGGCGGGAACCGCAGCCGGCCCACCACAGCACGTGCTGAGCAGGTGCGCATCCCCGAGCCTCAAGGCAGAGGCCAACCACCTCCAGGGACAGCAGGCCGGGCACAACTCAGACGGAGGCACTTGCCACCGCAGTGTGGACCTCTTCGTCCTGAGCCCGTCCCCCCCCTCCGGTCCGCTGGCCAGGCAGGCGCCCCCATGCCCCTTCCCCAGCGGCCAGCCGGCGTGAGCAGCAGCCCCACCCAGGGCTGCAGCCCGGCAACAGGGGGGCCGCGTCCCGAGTCCCGCCCAGAGGCCACACGAGGCTGACCGGACAACCGCACGAGGAAGCCCGGGAGCCCGCCCGGCCCAGCCCCCGGCTCTAGTCACCCACACTGCGGAAGGGTGCACAGACCTGTGGGGTGCTACCCGGCTCAGCTCCAACCCTGTACTCACCCCCTAGCACCTTCTTCAAACTCAAGTCAAACTTTAAAAGAACTTTCCAGAAAAATCTCAAACCATCCAAACTCGTTTTTCGCTCCAGAAACACAAGAGTTTTTATGTTTTGTGAGTTCTCCGATTACTGCTTATGTTAGGATCTGTTCTAATCTGTATCAACACGTTGTATTCTTACCCTGTTCTCCAACTGCTCCGTGCAATAATTTATATTCCCAAGTTTCATGATGCAAAGATCATTTCTGGTTTTTCCTTCTCCCCACAGGCCTAAAAAGTAAACTGGGACATCTTTATAACTCAAACTTAGCATAAAATATGATTTCTGGGGTGGCACCTGGTGGCTCAGTCAGTAGAGCACCTGACTTAGGCTCAGGTCATGATCTCGCGGTTTGGGGGTTCGAGCCCTGTCAATTGTGCTGAGAGCACAGAGCCCACTTTGGATCCTCTGTCCCCCTTTTTCTGTACCTCCCCCACTTGTATTCTTTCTCTCTTTCTCTCAAAAATAAACAAACAGTTTTAAGGGTGCCCGGGTGGCTCAGTCGGTTAAGCATCCGACTTTGGCTTAGGTCACGATCTCGCAGTCTGTGAGTTTGAGTCCCGCATCAGGCTCTGTGCTGACAGGGGCAGCCCGGAGCTTGCTTGGGATTCTGTGTCTCCCTCTCTCTGCCCCTCCCCAACTCACACTCTTTCACTCAAAAAATAAACATTAAAAAAAATAAAAAGTTTTAAAAATGCTATTTCTGAAAATCACGCTGAAACAAGCAATCGTTATGTATCTAAAACGATAATAAATTAACATAAAACCTGAAAAGCAGCATAAAGCCACGACCACTCCTCAATTAATAATACTAATTCAATCAGGTGAGGTAAATGTCTGAGTTGGATATAAAAAGAAATGGCAATGTGTTACATCCAAATCAAGTATTAACGTTGCAAAAATGAACCACAGTAAATTCAGCAACAAAAAAACCAAAATCTGATTCACATATGGGCAAAGGGCTAGTACAGACACTTCTGCAGGGACATACAAATGGCCAATAAGCATGTGAACAGATGCTCAGCATCACTAATCCTGAGGGCACTGCAAACCAAAACCACAAAAAGGAGACAGACAACGGAACGGTGGGCGCCGGGGGCCAGGAGGGGCAGGAATGGGGGTTAGCGTTTAACGGGCACAGAGGCCCAGACCCGTAAGGTGAGTGAGCTCTGGCACGGATGGTGGAGACGGTCGTACAATGCTGTGAACGTGTTCAATACCACTCAACTGCACACTTAAAAAATGGTTAAGGTGGTCAATTTTATGTTATGTGTATTTTAGCACAATTTTTTAAAATAGGAAAACAAAAAAAGAACCACCACAGTAGGGCCGTTTAAGGAAAGGTAAGAAAAAAGTTTGGAGATTAGAAAGATTAAGTGCAAAAAGAGAAAGACGGAGAAACAGTCCATAAACACAATACCTTTAAGTTTGGTGTAGTTGTGAAGGAGTGGGTCAGCGGAGACCATGCACGGCCACCAAGGGTAACCGGACACTTTGGACCACACCAAGTCGCCAACACTGTATTTCAACAGGTGGTCTTTGTCTCTGCCAGTATTTGGACAGGACTCTTTCTTAGCCGCAACCTGAAAATGAACAACAAAATACATACTAACAATCTAAGTACCCCTAAATCCAATCTTCTATCCAAAGATTACGCAGGCTAGAGGTTTCTCTCTCTCTCTCTCTCTCTCTCTCTCTCTCTCTCTCACACACACACACACACACACACACACACAAGGAGAGTGCTTCCCCTGCTATCACTTCATCAAACCGCACACAGTAGGTACCCGACTATGAAGGGCCCTACATAGCTCTATTTCCTTGGTGTGGTGGGTGGTCTTTAATGGTGCTTTACTCAGCTAGTCAAATAAGTGATTTTCGTGGAAGCGTGGATCCATACTTTGACCCTCCCGTGCCCCTCAGCCATGTGTCTGTCGGTTCTCGGGAGCACTTGTGTCACCCAGCACAAAAGGACCCAGGGTGGCAAGAACCTCAGGAGGGCTTGGCAACAAGTCTCAGCTCCGTTGTGATCTGGGTCCTAGGGGTCTCTGAGCCTCCATTTCTCTTCCTGAGAACATGAGTCACTTAGGAGCTGGAGGCCTGACCGGGGCCACGGCCGTCCCACTCCTCTCAGTCCCTCCAGTGGGACAAGCAAGGTCAGCATGGCTCCTGGCCTCCTCCTGAGCGTCACTTCCCGAGCCTTCTCCTAGAGCTCTACATACCTGGGCAAGTTGCTGAATTTGTTTGGGCCTCAGTTTCCTCGTCTGTAAACCAAGGATAAGGGCTCTGAGATCTCACTGCGTGTTATGAGGACCCGTGCGCACAGTGCCAAGGGCTGGCACACAGCTGCTACGTGCTGGCTCTCCGATCAGCCCACAGCACCCCAGCTTTGCATTTTCGTGTCCTCTAAGCCACGTGAGAGCCCCATGTGGAGGATCACCACCCCACTCTGAAGATGAGAGTCAAAACTCAGGTATTTATCCAAGTTTATCAAAACCGACTGGCAGAGCAGGAGTAACTTGCAGCAGCCTCTTCCCTATGAACGAGCGAGGAGGTCCCCCACAACCACGCGAACTTCGGACCCTCGTTGCATCAGCCCAGCTCGCTAAATTCATCTATTTTTTTAAAAAATTCACCGTTGCAATACATTAGCAAGAGGCAAACAGCTCCTGAACACTCACTTTTCTAAACCTTAAAAAATCTTCATTATTTTAACGATTTCAGGGGAATTTTGAACATTCTCCCTTTTATCTGTGGAAACTGTAAATAGAATTCCTCAAGTGTAATTTTAAACTAAATACTCCAACCTCGGTGATGATACCAACCCAAAGTGGTTTCAGGCTCCCTCTCCCTACCCCTGCAAGTGGGCCTGGAGCTTCGACTAAAGACCGAAGGACCCCAGGCCCCTTCCAGCCTCTGTTCACATAGACCACAGACACCGTCAGCCCTTGGCACCCTCCCTGGTTCCTTCTGCCAAGGCCAAGGCTCCTTGGCCGCTTTACATGGCTTATACTCATTTCAGCAGCGGGCCATCGCAGTGCCACTTTAAGACACGGTGGCATAAACCCCTACAGTCCTTCATCACAAGCAGGGGTTTCCACCCGTCTTTGATGACTGAACACCTGCTCACACGTGTTCAAGTGCTGGGCTCCGCACTGGGAACCAAGAGCGTGAAGGTACAAGGCAGACCCAGTCCTCAAGGAGGCGGACCGTCTGCGGGACCACCGGGTAGAGGAGACAAGAGCGGATGGCAAACCATGTGGAAGGACAGGAGCCCCCCTGCACCGCCCCCCCCCGTCCCCCATGGCACCAGGAAGCCAGATCCCAGCACCCCTAAGTCCTGAAGGTCAAGGGGTGTGGAACTGGCCAGACCTGGGTCTAGAAACTGGTTTTACCTCTTTTTATCCATTTCACTCTCGAACACTTAGTCAAGTCCCTAGCTTCACAACTGGCTCTGCGGGCGGGCCGCTGTGAGACTTAACACAGGGTCGCCTGCAGCCGGGGGGCCGAGCCACAGCCTGGCTCCCTTGTCAGCCCGGTGCACCCAGGGCGAGGGGGCACACTCTCCTCGGCTGCGCCCCGCGTCCCACGCCCAGAAGGGGCCTGGCCGGCGCGGCTGCTGCGCTCGACCCCACCCGGGCCACGCCTCCTCACAGGCACCTTTTTGTCAGAGGGACTCGAGATCCTGGACACCAGCGCTGCTTCAACAAGACCGTGCTCCAGCAAGGAGTCGTACTTTATGCTCCGCTTCCTGTTCCTTCTGGCCTTATTTTCCGGTTTTTGTCCGTGTTCTTCCGACTGGGACACGGCAGCAGCGCCGTCCCCGCAAATCGAAGATTCAAAGAGAGGTTTCCCGTTCATGTACGTTTTGGTGATCTTCAGCTTAATCTCCGGAGAGCCGTTTTTGATGGGGGTGGTGCTGGGCGGCGTCCCGAGCGCCTTCACTTCCTGGGACTCAAAGCGCAGTCTGGCATCATGAGCACCAGGCTCGCCATTAAATACACGGGACGTCAGGTCCTTCAGCTTCTCAGATGGGATAAAGGGAAGTGCGTCGTGGCCGTTGAACTTCTGCATGACCCCCTCCTGTAGACTGGTCGAGAGCTGGGCTTTGCTGAGGAACACGGAACATTCACGATTCACTTCACAGTTCTGGGTCTTCCCGTTCGTGCTGCCGAGGGTCTCCGGTGCCTGCTTCATCTTGACACACTTCGCAATCTTCTCGACAGAAAGAGGACCCTTTTGATGCTAAACTGCATTCAGCCCAGACGCTCCGTATCTAGAGCACTACAGTGTTAGAAAAACAAAAAGAAAAAGAAACATCACGTTTAGAACCTAACAGAAGTATCCTGACACCTCTACGGCTTTGTGTGGTTTATCGTGAGACCATGTATGACATTTACATAATCCCTCGGTCATAGGAGGCAGCTCCAGTATCACAGAAATGAGACAGAGTCACAAAATGATAAAGTGGAAACGAAAGGGAAAGGGGGAAGGG